CAAATTCTGGATTTCCCCAGTTTACCAGGAAAGGAAGCATGGCTGGGTACAAAGAACCCAGATTTTTCCCAGTTCTACAATTCCCATGGCACTGAAAACTCTATCACTGCTAACCACAAGAAAAAGAACATCTAGAAATCACTGAAACCACAGTGGCGTAAATGAGGACTGTATGAACCACTGAACACCAGTGCAAAAAAACAGCAAAGTTGTTTATGAAAATTCTGTCCAAGACCCATTAGAAAGGGAAACACATCGGTACTTTGGAAATTCCCACGCTGTGTCAAAATGCAGTGCTCCACACAAAGATATTCAAACCTTTAGATGGTTCTAGTAAAGTTACACTTATCACTGAACACTCCAGGCTTGCCCAAGCCACTGTTCATTGTGTGAAGTACATCTATGTTCTTACAAGTCAGCATGAGAGAAGATAAATCCTGAAAACAGAAGCACGGAGAAGCATACGGAAGAGATGTGCAAGCTGGCTAGCCAGGCTTAGTTTAGGAGTCTGGGGCAGTGCCAATGTTCACATCACATCTGGACTAATCCTGCACAGAACACATGGCTCTGGGACCTCTGTACCACCCACCACTGCAGGGCATGATGTGCTACTTTCTAAGAGGTGCCCAGCCAAAAAAATTAACCATTAGCTGACATATGTATTAAATTTAATACCAGCTTAAAAACTAGGCTTGCCTGAATCACAGCATCTGATGCTCAGCGTCAGGTCTGCTGGCACAGTCCTGGTCTCAATGGATTGGTCAGCAGAGATTGAACCCAGCTGTCTTCAGAACGTCAGGTAAGCGTGATATTCACATACAACATAAACTGCTGCAATATAAACAAGCCCTAACATTACACATCTCTTAAAAGCAGTGTTGGACCAGTTACATACTTGTTTTATCTGAGCAGATGTCAGCATCTGCTTTAAGTAGAAAGAACCAAAACATTTGTGTTCCTTTCCCATCCCCAGCCCCCACCCTACTCAAAAGTGAGGAAGAACACTGAGTGTCAGATTTTTCAGTGGCATTTTATACCAGAGCAGAAAGACAGATGTTTTGATGATTTTTTTTCCTCCCTACAATCTGGGCAGCCAGTCTCTTTGCTAAGCTGTTCACCCTTACTATTAAAATTGATTTGCACAACAGTACATTGCAGCCAAAGCAAGCACGGCAGTCATTAAAGAGTAGGCTGCTCACACATGTTTCTGTACTTAGCCAAGTCAGCTACTGATGAATGGGTCATCCTTTGTTAAGCAACTGTAAGGAACTGGTAAAGAAATAATTTGTGGTTCAGGAACAGCCATGCTGACAGGTAGGCCTTCTCCTGTCCTTTTGCTTTCCATCAGCAGCATGCTCTGTTTGCTGGTCTTTGACCAATCTCTAATTATAATAACAGAAAATAATGAACATGTCCTGGTCAGTTGCACGGGCTTGTACCAAGAAATTATGGAAATCTTCAGAAAGTAAATGTACAGACACTGAAGCAGTGGCACTGCAAATTAAATCATACTGAATGATTCAAACATAAGCAAAGAACAAGGGACCAGGTCAGGGTCAGAAATTAAAGCTATACTATGTAATGTGGTGACTCTCAGAATATTGCAGACCACTTCTTAAAACTCAGGGTACTTCACACCTCCCCTATCAGTCCTCTCACTGTCCTAAGGCCCCTTTATTTTGCTCTAGTCAGTTCAATATGTCCAGCTTTAGTGTCTTCTTGCAGACAGTCTTGCAGTCAGGGATGCTACTTTTTCTGGGTTAAAAACAAAGCAAAACAAAACGCAAAAAAACCCCAAAGAAAACCAGAAAAAATCCACAAAAACCCCAAGAACAACAACAAAAAGAATCAAGAAAACAATCTACTTCTTTTTGTGAGACCTCTGAAAGGTCTTGGATGAGAAGACTACATATTATCTTAAAATTATGATAATTACAAAAATCTTGAGTCTTAGTACTAGTTACCACTTTGAGCTCTGGAGAAGACTGCAATAAAAATCATGCCACAAAGTTCTCACACCAGAGCAACTTCAAGAAGCCTCAGCTAGGTCCAGGTTGCATTTTACTGAATAACAAATGAAGAGCTGTAAGGAAGCAACCTTGCCAATAGACAGGGAGTGGTTGTATCAGACGAAAATTATTTCTGATACATTAGAAATCTGGTGCCAAATTCCCATCTCCATTCATAGTTTCCACAGCCAAAGAACTAATGACACTCGTGGGAGAAATACGCTCTGCCAGGAACTGCATGGAGATTATATAGCAGCCTATACTGAGCTCTCTTGCAGGCCTTGGCATAACGTCCCACCAAGGATAAGAAACGAGTAGTGATACTCAGCCTTCCTCTAAATCTGTAAGATTGCAGAAGCTGCTACTTCAGCACCCTCATATTTGGAACTGGAAGCATTCTAGCCCTGGAAATACTACTCCAGTGCCTTTAGTATGCGGGAATCTCTGTTGCTGGAAGCGTACTGCTGAAAGTCATAAACAGAGAGAAGTTTATGGAGACTTACAACTGAGACAAATGAGGAGGGACATTCACAAATATATAGAGAAATACTGAACACCAAAGCAAACGTGAAGTTTTATTCCTCAACCCCAATAAACACAAGGTCTCATCTCCAAAGAAACCATTTTCAAACACTGGCAAACTGATGTCCTGTCCTCAAGGATGAAGGAAAAGGCTGGTCCATTTTTACAGGAGTTATCAAAAAAAAAAAAAAAAAAAGGACAGCCTGAGTTAACAGGTAATCGTGAGCAGCATTGCCCTAAGTGTTCGGAGTTTGGCATAGTTAGAGTCCAAAGAAGAAATAAATAAAAACTTAATAGATACTCTAACTCTCAAATAAGTATTGCTGTCATCTCCCTTCAGAATTACCCAAGCACCTTGTAAACACAAACTGAGCAAACTTGAGTTCTCGCTGAAGTTTTACTAAAACCTGCATTTTTTACCTCAAAACAGCCACCCTGATGTGCCACTCATGATCACAGGAGTGAAAGCTGCAGGACCAGGACACTAGACTTCACTTCTAGGTCCAGGAGGCTTGTATCCTCCCCGAGGATGCACAGCCCTGAGAACATCTGTAACCCTATAAGCCACATTTCATTAGAATGCAATTAAAAGAATTATTTGCCTTTTTTTCAAGTCTCGTTTCCAAAAAGTGAACAACCTTGTAAGCAATCTGCTGGAGAGGGAGTAAAGATGTCTGTTGTTATACAGCCTTTTCCAGAGCTATGACTGCTCAGGAGTGAATTACAGCACACAAACTCTCTACGCGTTCCTTTGGATGCACATTTGCTCGTGGAAGAATGTATGTATGTATGTATTGGCACATAAGTACTTCCTCTGTCCTGCCTACACTACATCAGTTCACTAAACAGATTTAATTTGCAGTTTCCTCCAAAGGCATTTACCTTTCGAATTTCGGTTTTAACAATAGGAGTCTCTTGTATATATACACACACAAAATGACAGCTCTTTAATGATGCTAAGCCAGACAAATGCCCTTTCTATGAACATAGTGCAGGATAAATGTCCTTGAGTATCTCAGATACAAAATGCCAATAAATTGAATTTATGTCTCATTTAATCTACAATGGAACAGTTAGTACTTAAAGGGTACATACACTTCCCCTACTCCCTTTCTTCCTGAGAAACTTTCAGATGCTGAAAATCAATTCCTTTTGTCTCCTTGTTATTCATCTGCTACACATTAAGGAGAAACTCTGGGCATTCAGTGATCCCACAATGGTCTTTCATCTCCAGAGAAGCCTGGTATGAATTAAAATCTTACGCTCCCTCAAATTATGGATGCATACTGCAGCATGCCACTGACTTATGTGCTCGTGATTTTTGCCAGTTTTCTCACCATGCTGCAGCTAGTTCATCTGCATCTTTCAACTTAAGTGACTCTTTCACAATGCTGCCCATCCAGCCCATGAAAAGTGCTTTGACGCTAGCATACACGAATATATGTCCCCACACACCAGGTACCACCATCTACTCTTTTTTCCAACTCCCTGCCATTTAGAATTTATATTAAAAAGTGGAGTTACTACAGCCGAGATCTCAGTACAAGAACAACAAGTACTTCATGAAAGTAATGTTCTTCCATTTCAGTGGCCTGCAGAGATTAAGATTGTATACAAATAACTTTTAACTGATGTCATTTCTTTGTCATGCCTGTTTTTAGGGGCAGTTCTAACCTAGGACATTGTTTTTCTGTAATGGATGTAAAATTTAATTGCTATCTAGACTGCTGCAGCACTGGTCAAACACACTCTGTTCTTTCACTCCCAGCTTCCAGCCAGTTGTGCTACTGGATGTCCCATACCACAGCAATCCAAGGCTTAACATACTTATTCTTGTTTTATTCTTTGTTGCTCTTTCAGTCTATTTTTCCTCATTCCAAATCCTGTTTGTCCACTCCTCAACTCTCAAATATTCCCTGCAGCCAAAGTAACACATTCAAAATAAGGAAACATTTGCAAATCTACATTCACATTCTGTCCTATAGGAACCATCATCTTTTGCTAATCACTTCTACATCCAACGCTTTTCCCAGACAAGCTTTTAGCCACCTTGCTCTACAATCTCTTAAATAACTGTTTCTTTGTTTAAATGAGATTTCAGTGTGAAATATTTCCAAACAATGTTGTTATCTATTCAATAAGGCAGTTTGAAGAGCTTTAAAATAAAGCTACTGAAAAGCTAAATTAGAACAGAAATGCGTGCATTATACGTAACCCTGAACAGCAGTTAAAAGGTGAGAACACAGCTCAAGTTCACTAGCTATTTTGGGCTCAGATTACAAGATAGCCAAGAAAATCTGGAGCTCAGCACGCGCCTGAAATACGCGTCCACAGCAACTGTGCAAACAGTTAAGAGCGGGCATTGAACTCCGCTGTCACACAAAGAGCCTGTGCCAGCCAGACTAAGGCTCGCCCAGGTACACCCGGGGTTCGCAGCCACAGGTGACGCCTGCCCAGCAAAGACCTTACCTCGCTTGAATCCTCCTGCTGATTGATGACAGCTAGTGCATCCTCTGCAGCCTGGCGCTTGGCTTCGGCAACCGTGCGCTCCATCTTAGCTCTCTCTGAAGTGATCATGTCGTGAGCTTTCCGCTCTGCCTCCGACACCGCCTTCTGCAACTCGGCCATCGCCTGACGCTTTACTTCATTGACAGCTTCCTCTGCAAAGGAGGGAAAAAACCATCATCAGCGCAGGACATCGGGCACAGGGCTATGTAGGACTGATGCGTGAAACTCCATCATATTGTCTTCATTTTGAGAAGGACACAGAGGAACCTGGCTCCTCAAGACTCTTCAGGACCACCCAGGCGCTTCTTTACTGCCCCATCACCGAAAGCTCTCACAAGCCTCTAACACTTGTGATGATTCTTGCTCTTTTGATTCGCAGCCTGTGCTCCTTTAAGTACGGACATTTCAGATCTCTGGTGCGTTACTTTTGTACTCTTTTTCAACATTTTACTTGGAAAACTGCGTTTGCAGCACACCAGATTTATGAATATCTTTGGCAAAAATTATTATTTAAGACACAGTATTACAGACTTTTTCAAAAAGGTATCTTTAAGCTCTGGAAATTAAGACAAGATTTATAGTAATTCACAATTTTTTCCCGTATCGTTAACGAATAAATACATGAACTTAATCATGTACCCCAAGAGTTTATTTTAGTATTTTAAATCACTGGTCTAGTATCTTTTCCCAGACATAGAATTTTACGAGCCAAAATTAAAATTTGTTTATGAACATTCATTTGACCTCTTGATCCCTCCTTCAAGCCCATGTTGATACTGTGAAGAGTCGACTTCCTGGCCCCGCCGAGCTCTTGAGCACACCGCAGCCAGCAAGGCTTCAGCGCGCAATTAACACTGAGCAGGGGCACACCGCTTCCCTAAATTCAAACTTTCATGCGTCTTGTCAGATAACTAAGTCAGTGTGAGCCGTTTCTTTGGTATATACTAGCGTCATATCTTTTATTCCGGAAAACATGGATTGTCACAAATTACTTATTTGGGTTTTGATGCAGGAAGAGTGCAAAGATTTTACTAATGAACAGTCTTTTAACTGACAACTAAAACAAGCAATTTTTTTTTAATTAACTGCTCTAATTAACAAGGAAACCATCCTCCCCCTGAATTAGGTTATCTAATTTTCATCTTTATTCAAAGCAAAATGACAATGATTAATTGAAAATTTAATAAGCAGTAATTATTAACTTGGCAAACCTAGTACCAATTAACACTCTATTAAAACTAATTATGACATGTTTCATTCAAGTGTTTGCACTTAATTGTTTCATCCACTTAAAAACCACCTTAATTAAATGTTCTGTTTAATTAAAAACATAGATTTCTAATAAAAATGTTTTACTGTAGATTAAAATCTAAGTATTACAACTGAGTTACGGGTTTGAGTTTTAGTCCACATATTTAGCCCATGTATTTGCGTGCATGCACATGCACATAGACCTAACTCTTACATACAGATACTATGTCAATAACTCTCTTGAGTTTTTATGTCTCACAGCTCTGCACTTGTTATTTAAAGAAAATAAGGACTACATGAAGTCTCCGTTTTCAGTTATTAAGCAAATTACAATAAAGACTTAACTTTAGGCCATGTACTGACTAAAACTGAATTAATTAAAATTAAATAAGAGTTCCATTATTCTGTGCATGTGTGTGTGTGTGTGTGTGTGTTACGTGTGTGCACGTCTGCGAGAGATGTTTCAGCTCACGTTTTCGAGGGAGGGGAATTTAGAGATAAAACTTACGCCTTTATTTTTATGAGGCTGAAAATATGCCCTTATATTACCCTACCATAAATGTTGTTTAGGGGAAAGCCTCAGGAGAGGAAAAAATCATACCCTTCAACCATACAGCCAAGGCTTAATTTACTTTGAATATTCAAGGTGAATTAAAATTCTATCTAAGTGGCAATACAGGACAATAATTTTTGCTTACGATCAAAGCTGCAGCTAGACTAATTGTATATGCAAATCAGGCAATTTATATTTAAATTATGCATTCCTATTCTAGTCCCACAGGCACACATGGATCAGCAAAGGGAATTGGTAGGACATTTGCAAGGTGCTTGAATATTTATTACCAACTGCAAACATTCACTGATCATGAGAAAAGAAATATACACAGGCAAACATACAGATGCAATTTTATTACCATTTTCATAAAAATGAGGCAACTTAAATACAGACATTTTGTGTCTATGAACTGCCGTTATTAACAAAGTGGATTTCTTTGCGAAAATCTGTATTCTTGCTGATATTTGCTATGAAAAGAAATTATCTTTGTATGGCATGATGCACTTCATTACATCACACAAATTTAGTCTCACATTGAGGTGTTTGCAGTGGTTAGAAATGCCAGTTTAAACTATTACATTAAACAGAAGTACAATACTTCAACATTTTACAGAGACTTCTAATTTTATAGTTTTTCATCCTACATTATCTACGTCTTTTCAGTCCAAATATAGAAATTGAACTTTATATTCTAACTTCTGTATCGCATAAGTTTTTTTGCAAAGCTTCTGAGAGTATGAGATGCTAAAAATGCTTATGAGGCCATATGCCTGATACTTTTTAATTGGCATAAACTATGGATTGGACTTTAGTATTTCCATTAACTTTTGACAACAGAATGTGTTGTGCTATACTAAGTGTGAAAACAAATAGTTAAAATATGTCGGGTTTTTTTGTCAGAATGCACCACCATAATTTCAATACATTATGAACTCATGAACACCCAAATAAACTAGACAAAATTTCTTATCACTGATTTTCTGCACACCTTCTTAAAATAAATGTTTCCAGTACCTACAGATATTTTATAGACATAGAATGCAGGCTTCATAGCTTCAGATAACAATAAAAACTGCAGTATCTGTGCAGGAAGAATTACGGGTGACAGTGAAGGAGATTTTATTTGCCTTGACGATGCTGAGCTATGACTACCAAGAATGATACCAGCGCTCTTCCTTTCTCTGCTTTTCCAGAGAAAGGAAGAATGATTAGATTCCAATATCAGAAAACATAAATCCGGAGGTTTTTAAAACCAAGTATCTATGATGCATATGTCTGCATCCTCCATTTTCCCATTAATGCTAAGGATTCTTGCCATAAATTCACTCTGTCTTTTTAAGAATGCAACTGAAATCTTCCTTCCCTTTAGAGTAGCGCTGACTCATGAGAGAAGCTCCAGGGAGCCAACAGCCTGTGTGGAATAGGCATTCCTCAACGTGATCAGAGGGCCTTGGAGCTGACTCAGGAGAGGTACTCAACCCATCATTCACTCCTGTATATAACCCAACACGATGATTCACCAGCTAGCTCCTGGTCACCTCCCTCACATCGTGGGCAAACTTAGTCCACATGATGAAAAAGGAAAGGTGGTGGGCAGGGGTGCAGTCATGAAATTTTGCATCATCTCACTCTCAGGCTGACCCTGGCAAAGAAGGTCATTGGGAGCTGGTGGCATGAGTTGTCTTGGCTTTGTACTCCAAAATGCACAATCTCTCTCTCAGGAGAATGTGCAGGGTCTTTACTGTCCTTGTGTGACAAAGTATGGTCATTCCACACCTGTTTGGTAACTCCAGAGCTTAATTACAGTAAGTAACTGGAGTAACTGGTAGCTCCAGTCCACAACTGCCATGAACAGCAGGCCTTGCTGTGTGACAGGAGACGGCTGGAAGACAGTTTCCTCATGACACAGAAAGAAGCTAAGGCAGCAACCCACAGTGGGCCTGGGATCCCCTCAGTATTTGATAAATAGGTATTTCCAGACAGCAAGTCATCCAACCTATGATCTGACTGAGCCTCTTCACATGCCTGCCTCTCTCCTGACTACTGAGGGACACCAAGAACTTGGCTTGGACTCCATCTACATACCCATAACTCAGTGAGAAGAATCAGGACACTGATGACTTTCCACCAATGTATGAAACTGAATTGGGTTCACACGGCTTTAATTCACAAGGTGCTGCTTACTAGGTGCTTGCTCCAACAATCACAAAAGCACGTGCTTAACTTGGTATATTTGAAGAATTGTGCTGGAGTATATCAATCTCCAAAAGTTTAAAGTGAATCCCTTTTTCACAGGATTTTGAGGTTGCTTATTATCTGTTTTTATGCCAAATTCTTTCAGTTCAATGGAGTCAGCATCCCAATCAGACTTGTATATTTGATTCAGCTGTCTACACATTGGTCTTTACGGACATTTGAGATACCAAGATATCCACACTAAGCCAGCAGAAATTACTTGTGAGAGATTTGCAGCCTTCCTGACTGGCAGTTGCAGCCTAGCCAGGAACCTATGGAGCATCTCAAATGGCATCAAGGACCTATTCTTACAGAGCTGAATTGCACCTTTACTGCTGTGAACTGATTACAAAATTGTGGAGACCTCCAACTTCAGCGCACCCTCCTGAAAATGAAGGCCCATGACTTATGAAAAGCTTATGAAGAAACTTTTTTCTTATATTGTACCGCACCTAGAAGCCATAAATGACCTGTTATGCCAAACAACATCAGAACCTAGATTTTAAAGTTCCTGAAATGCAACTGAATAATGCTCCTCTTACTGAGATATCCTGGGACTGCATATTTTTTTCTTACTTTTCATTTAAGATGTTAACATAAATATGGCAAAACAAACTGTAAAATTCCTTTTGGGTACACAAAAGCATTGAGTTACAAAGGCTACACTTTCCTTGGACAAAAGAAAAAGTTGTAGGTTTTTTTTGTTATTTTTCATATAAAACCACAGCACAGTTCCAAAAGTATTAATTTACATATTGGCAAATGTAGACTTTACATGATAAACCCACATCACGCAAACAACACAACTTCTTGTCTGATGCAAAAATATGCCAGCAGAACATTTTTACACGTGTTCTGTATCTAGTTGAAAATACACCAAGAAGCAGCAAGCAGTTACAGGAGATTTGATCAGAGAGCATCAAAACTGCTGCATATTTGCCATTTAATCATTAACTCCTGCTCAGACAGCTGCAGTAGACTTCATGGTTATACAGGTGTTCAAAAGGGGGGGGTGTGTATAAGTGTATATATAGAAGCTCAACTATGTTGCTGGAGTTCAACAGCTACCTCCTGGCCCCTCGGAAAACAAGGAAACTTTGATGTCAAAAGAGCAAAGGTTTAGCTCCAGCACTGCAATAGGATCCTCGCCAGGAAATCCGTGTGCTCAGGCACAGTTTTAAAGTGTTGAAGAAAACTCTGTACAACCACAACATCTGCCCACGGTGCTTTCCAAGCTCAGGGAAGACGCTGTCAGTGCCTGTGCAACCACCCAGAGCAGCTGTGGAGACGCGATCTTGCTTACTTCATTGAAAACTTTGCAAGTTTATGAGCACAGACTTCACTTGAGGCTGACAGGCAGAAAATCTTTTTAAAATTAAGAATGGTTACACTGCACAGCTGGAGGTTTTTCTTTAACAGGTATACTTAGGATTTTTCCCTCTGTTGGGAATTCTGACCTTAACTAGGTAAGAACCTTGAAGCTTAAAAAAAAAAAAATCCCACACAAACTTTTTTTTTTTAAAATTGCTAACAGACTGAAACTTTAGCATATCAAGTTTCAGCCTGAAACCATTATAACCCCAGAAAATAGGGGTCCTTAATGGAAGTACTGATATCCCCCTAACTATAGCAGCAGATGCTTCTATTATAAAAATTATTTCATGTCCTGATCAATTCCAGTTTAAGATTATTAAACACAATTTCTTCTTGTTACTTTGTAAGCCCCCCTCGCCTTTTTTTTTTTTTTTTCATTCCTCACATCAGTGCATTAACAACTGCACACAGCTGCCAGAAGACTAAGCTGATGTTTTTAAACAGTTCTTACCAGCTTTCTTCCAGATCTCCTCTGGCACGTATCCAGACGCAGGCCTGTGAAGGAATTCCCGATGTGATTCTGCAGGAGGAGGGGGTGTGGAGGGAAAAAGAAAAGAGCATCGTAAGCAAGGCTTGCTTGTTGAGAACAAGGCTTAGAGAAATACTTTTTCCCTTTACTCAGACACCCAAAAAAAAAAAAAAAAAAATCACAGGAAGTTTTTTCTTATGCAAAATAAAATGGGTGCTGAGGCTGTAGCTCACAAATGCCACATAGACCAGATCAATGTGTAGGACTCAAATCTCAAATGTCTCATCTTAAGCCAAGCTGAGACTAGTTCGCTTAATTTTTATTTTACAGCGTTTCAAGGCAACTGTATATGACAGTTTCCACACTTTTAAGGCCGGCTTTGCGAGACCAACTGAGGGAGTGACATGCTTCATCCTTTGTCATTATGTTTGTGAAAGGGAAGAAGAAAGAGGGCAACAGTCCGCGCTTGGCACTTCTGCTCTGTGAAAACAGAATGGCTACCGACAAGCAGAGATAAAAGCCAAGATGTCACTCCAGTGATCAAATAAGCTGTCCACAGAAAAAGAAAGGGGTGTGTCTACATGTTCAGAGCTACGCTCTCCTATATCTGAGCCCATGTTGGCAACTGTAGCTGCACGAGTTTGAAAAACAGAACCTTTAACTGCAGGTTAAGCCTCTAAATACATACGCTGCCAAACAACCTCACTGGAGCTGAAGCTCATAATTCACCCATATATTTCAATCAAATTTTGACAGCTCTTCCCCCCCCCCCCCCCATCTTTTTTTTTTTTTTTGTTTATT